CAGAACACTAAAGTCCGTTCAGACCAAAACCCTAATCTTTCACTGTACTCATTCCGAAACTCAGAAACGAGCAAACCCTACCCTGACTCGTCGAGTCAGCTAAGGGACTCGACGAGTTCCTTCAGTCCCTTTCATGTTCAATCCTTTTTAGTGGGATCTAAGGTCCCAAACTTCAGATCCAACCTCCCCTAGTGCAGATACCACGTAAAGTTGCAAACTTTACGTGTATGCAAGGCCCTTTAAGGCTATAACATTAAAACTAAGCTTCCTACAAGGTTTTAGTGCATGGAAAGGGGCTAAGCTATATAAAGTGAGCGACTTTATGTCATTGGGGACCTCGAGAGGTCCAGATCTGGAACCATTTCCTTGTGATAAGTCTAGATCTGAGTTTGACTCCAGTTTGCCCCAAAAATGGCCATTTACTTCCAAGAAAATGGATCTAAGCAACTAGAGATCAAGGTAACGACTTTATACCTCAAGATGATGGCCAATATAGAGTAGATGCCCGATATACTGTTTCTCTCCTTGCTCCTTCCTCTTCAAGCTCCAAAATCCTTCACTAAGGCACAAGTTTCACTCTCTAAGGGTCACACACACTCAAGGAAGCTCAACTATGTGACTAGGGTTTCTTTATGGGTTGCAAGGACGATGAGGGAGGCTACAAATGAGCCATAAGTCCTTTAAATAGGGTGCAAACCCCTGAAAATTAGGGTTTCTCTCTACATCGCCTACTTGTCGAGCCGGGGCATTCCGACTCGTCGAGTAGCATCCAAATCTCACGTCCTCATAATAGTCTCTACTCGACGAGTTGGAGCTCCCCAACTCGCCGAGTCCATGCACAAAACCCAAAAAAAATTAGATAAATTAAATAATACCTGGAACAGGTGTTACATATGTAGCCTAAAAAGGTCTTCCGAAAAGTCAATGGAAGCTTCCAAAAAACGCAACAATGCTCCAAATAGAAGCAAGAGGGTACACACTCTTTCTCTCAATATGTATATATATATATATATATATATATATATATATATATATATATATAGAGAGAGAGCTAGGTTCAAATGTTTTCAACAAGTATTGTGTGCCTCTAACAACCAATCAGAATTAAGCAAAAATAAATTCAATAATAAATCAGAAAAGGGTATAATAGTAATCTTGGCTACATTTAATCTTCACCATCGTCCTTAAATTGCTTCTTCAATCTTCACCATCGACTCCTTCATGATACCAGGAGAAGAAACCCACCTTGGCGACCATCATCTCCACTATCAATCATCAAGTTTCCAGACCCATGACTACAGATAAATTTCTTCTCCAATCAGCCTGTAAGTTTCTTTTTCTTCTATTGAACTCGTTTTTTTATTTAATCGATTTTATGTATTTGGTTTTGGATAAATGATTTTGTGAACGACATTTCTGAAAAATCGATGATTGCAATCTGTTTGGATGTATTTCTTTGCATTTTATTTGAACCAAGCTGGTAAGTCCTTTCCAATTAAGATCTCCCAGTTCTGAAAATTCACTAGTGGAATCAAATATACGTTCTCTTAATTCAAGTTTGGTATAGCTGCATTTGATTTCTGATTATCTCAACATCTGTAATCGATTTCTATCGATTTCCCATGATATCATGAATCTTTCTCCTGCTTTCGGTTCAATTTCTGGTGTTATGAAGGTGTTTGGTGTTTAATACAACTTGTTGAAGGTGTTTGACATTATATTTCAAGGTAAAGCTAGGATAATTTGATAATGCACAGAAGGTGTTTGATAAAATGCATAAGAGATGTTTCAAGCCAAATTCTCAAAAACTTACTAATTCCATATTTAAAACATAGTTTCTAGTAATCTTAGACATGGATTATGTTATATTCTATGTATTCTGCCATATTCTATGTATTCTATGTATTTTGTCAAAATGTATTCTATGTATTCTGTCATATTCTATGTATTATGCCATATTCTGTGAGAATGTATTCTGTCATATAACATGTATTCTGTCAGAATTACTAGTAACATATATTTTATGCAATATGTATTCTGTCATATAACATGCATGCTGCCCTCTAAATGTTCGATGAAATGCCTATATATAAGACTCCATCTTTTCATTGCAGTTTTAGGATTACATGATTGTATTGCATATATTATACGCATATTGGTTTTTAACATTTTTTATGATTTCTTTGTCTATTTATAAGGATCATGGTCTTTGTTGATACACACCTAGCACCCACATTATTATTCTAACTTCATTAATTGTTTTAGATGAATTTTGGCTTGTTTGATGATAATGCCTAACAAGTGTTTGTTGAAATGCCTGAAAGAGAATTTAACGAATTTAACCTTGTGGTATGCATTCTGTCAGAATTACTAGCAACACATGTTTTATGTAATTGTTTAAAAAGGTAATTAATTTGTCTGTGTATTATGTTGGTTCAATTTGTGATTTTGAATTCCAATTTCTATAGTCCTTCGTTATTGTATATTTGGAATCTAAAATTGTATTAGCAGTAAATACGATACTTTTGAATGTATTATATGTATTCTATCAGAATGTATTCTGCCAGAATAAAATCTATGTATTCTGCCAGAATGTATTCTATGTATTCTACCAGAATATATAAAGTGATAGTTAATTGCAAGTAAATGTTTTTAACCATTATTAGTTTTTATTGTATTTGTGATAGGAATGGCTGGAAGAATGCGTTGAAGACCTAATAGGGATAACTTGAAGAATGAATAAACTTTGATCATACTCACAATTTAAGAATGTTGTTATTTTTTAAGAATTTTTATTCATTTTTGTTGATATTCTTTTAGAATATGTATAATAATATTAAAATGTATAAGACTTTTAGTCTGTAAGAATATGTATGAATTTGTATTTAAGTTCAGATGTATAAGAATATGTTAGAATGTTGTTATTTTTCAACCCCTGATTCAAGAATTTTGTTATTCTTCAATAATATTCTAATAGAATAAAATTCTGAAAGAACATCTTTCTAACAAAAAAATATTCTGACAGAATAAAACTGGTTATGTTTACAAAGTAAGTTAAAATTAAAATTGAATTAATTAAAGAAAATCAGATTTTTTAAATTAGGATAATTAATTATCCCTAAAAATCCGAAAAATTCCTTTTATAAATGTAGTTAATTGTCCAAAATACCCTTTTGCTAAAAATTGTGTGATTATATGATACATGTTATCCCACTGTAGTATCATACACTCTCAAATCATATCCATTGATTAATTCCATCCGTTGGTCCAGATCTGTGCATTCTGGCACACAATAGTTAGTAAAAACAAAATAACATAAGCCTATATATATATATATATATATATATATATATATATATATATATATACACACACAGGGGCGTAGCTACTCATTGATAAGGTAGGTCCTAGGACCTACCTTTTTTCTTTTTTATTACAATAATTATATATAAAAAAACATAAGGAACTACTTTATTTTTGCCAAAAGACCTATATTTTCATACTTTTTTCCGTTTCATTAATATAAGGAATCACTTTGATTTTGGTTCTAGATTCGCCACTGTTAATATATATATATATATATATATATATATATATATATATATATATATATATATATATATATATAACTTCTCATATCTCTCTCTCTCTCTCTCTCTCTCTCTCTCTCTCTCTCTCTCTCTCTCTTACGATGGAAGAAGCCTCCACCGGAGACTGTTTTTTCAACATCAAGAAGACAGTAATAGAGTTCCTCACATTTTTCTCATGTGAATCTTTTCATGAACGCGTAACACTCGTCATTGTCCATGCTTGCAAAATCAATGTTCACCAACCTCTAATTAATATCATCGGTGGATCGTATGGGGTACTTGGCAAAGATACCTTAGAAGTACACATCCACAACGAGGTAGACAACCATAGTTGAATAAAGAAAATGGAGGAAGGAATTAGATACAGTCGAGTCGAACGAGAAATGATGAATAAAGTATTGTCAGTATAGTTTCATTAAAAATCCTAACAAGACACAATCAACAATTACACGCCGACTACTTAAATGAGATGACAAAGAAGTAACCGGCTTACCCATTCATTTCTTCAAAAAAGACCAATTAGACCCGATAAAAATAAGTTTATTCCCTTATAAAACACATAAATAAGTCAAGGGACTAGATGAACAAATTCTAAATACAATAACCGACATGAAAAGATGAAATCAAATTCGACAGCATCTACCTTTACGACGTTGTTTTGGCAAGCACTAGATAGCGATAGCCGATAGGTAGGCACCTCTCTCGTCTCTTCGCTTTCGAGAGAAATCTCTCGCCATTTTTTCTGCCCGAGTATTGCTTTCATTGCATGCCTACTGAATTTAGGTTTCGTTTTGATTTGATTATCTGAATTGACGAAGGTATGTTGATTTCCATTGTTATTTGGCGTGATTAATGGTTGCCTCCTGTTGTTGAAATTGATCGTACTATTTTTTTTTGTTAAACGCATGTTCTTGAGACGATATGCATATATATCCGCATTTTGTTTTAGTAATTATGAATGTTAATATTTGAATTAGGGTTTTTTCTGATCAGGCGCTTGTTCTGATAATCCGCTTGCTTTTGTATGAGTTCGCTGTTGTTTGGAAGTTTAATATTTCTTTTACTTTGTAGTGTAGTCTGGGAAGGAGGTTTTGAGTATGCAATTGGTTTTTCGTTGATTCTTTTGATTTAAAATCATGACATATTTGGTTTATTGTTTTCCCAATACTAGTTTAGCACTAGCTTTCCATAGGAACTGCATATTCTGCAGGGAGATTCATCAACTCTGAAATCACAATCAGGGAATGGATTCTTCAAAATGCCAAATCATGACATATCTGATTTATTATTGACATGTGATGTGTCTAATCTGTAGATGGCTGTTGTAGCTTGTAGGTTATACCTTTTTTGAAGTGTGAAACTTTTTTGTTTTACTAACTTTTATGGCCATGGTTGTTTTCTTGATAGATCATGTCAAATGACCTGGATAATGATGCTGAATACATGGCTGATGAACATGAAGCAGAAGATGTAGAAAATAATATTTGTGATGAGTTACATGGTAGAGATTTAGGTGGTTCAGACTCGGAAATTGATGAACATGATGATATGGTTCGTGTTATGACCTTCAATTGAAACATGCAATATGTGAATAACTTTTTTAAAATGTGAATCAAGTGATTAATAATGTCAAGTTGGCTGCAGAATTATAAGTTGGGAGATACATATGCTGCTCAGGTAAGAAAAGGGAAGGACATTCAAGGTATTCCATGGGAGAGGCTCAGTATTACTAGGGAACAGTATAGACAAACTAGGCTAGAACAATACAAGAATTACGAAAATGTCCCTCTATCTGGACAGAGTTCACAGAAGGTACTGATTAATATTTAGTTATTCTTCTATGTACATTCATCATCATACTGAATGTTTGGCGAATTTTTTTTTTTTTTTTTTGTGAAACAGCAATGCAAAGTTACAAACAAAGGAGGCTCCTTTTATGAATTTAGATCCAATTCAAGATCCGTGAAGTCGACAATTCTTCATTTTCAGGCATGCTGACAATTTAATTTTTGATCTTGAATTATTTCCCTAACTCCTAAGTATATTATTTTTTGGGTTTAATTAAATTACATTATGATATGTTTTTTTTTTTTGGGATTTAGTTGAGGAACCTGGTATGGGCTACAACAAAGCATGATGTGTACTATATGTCCCATTTCTCTGTCCTTCGTTGGTCTTCCTTAACTTGTAAGAAATCATCAGTTCTTAATTTAGCAGGACACGTGGCACCACGTGAGGTGCGTGCTTTTTGTTCCCTTTTAATTAATTAATTTCTTTTTTTACATTATATTTTATGTTAGGGTAATTAAGTAATTATAATATTACAGAAACACCCTGGAAGCCTTCTGGAGGGATTTACTGAAACTCAAGTTAGTACACTTGCAGTAAAAGATAATTTATTAATTGCTGGTGGATTCCAGGGAGAGATTATATGCAAGGCAAGTATTATATTATACAATTTTTTATTTGTGTGTAACATTTTGCTCTGTGAAAATATTTATATATTTTTTGATTTACGGGTGCAGTATTTGGATCGACCTGGAGTTTGCTACTGTTCGAGGACAAGTTATGATGATAATGCCATCACTAATGCTGTAGACATTTATACAACTCCTAGGTTGGGTTGATATCAATTTTGTTTATTTAACAAATTTAACAAATTAAAAAAAAAATCATGTGAATTTATCTATCTTTTGATTGTTTTGCAGTGGTGCAGTTCGTTTTGCAGCCTCGAATAATGATTGTGGGGTCCGGGATTTTGATATGGAAAAGTTTGAGATGTCTAAGCACTTCCAGTTTCCTTGGCCTGTGAATGTATACACTCTCTTTTCCTCCCTTTGTTTCGTACCTTATTCTATCTACTACTATTAGGAATCGGAATCGGAATCGGAATCGTTCATTCCACTGGAATTTGATTCCTTCGGTTTTGTTGATGTAAATTTTTTTTCTATTCCTACACACCTACCTACCAAACAATATCATTGACCATAATTATACATTCCATTCCATGTAACCAAATAGTGGATAGAAACTTTTGATTCCAATGTGATAAACTTGAAACTTCATTTATGCATGCAGCATACATCAGTCAGCCCTGATGGCAAGCTTTTTGTAATCGTGGGAGACAATCCTGAAGGAATTTTGTTCGATTCCACCTCCGGAAAGGCAAGTTTTTTACTTTCAACATATTCTTACATCTAATTATTTACTTTTTTTTTTTTTTTTTTTTTTTTCCATTAGAGTAAATTACACTTTGGTCCTTTAAGTATATCTGATTTTTGGAATAGGGACCAAAATTGCAAGAGAAGACTTGTTGGAACCAAAACTTTGAAAAAACCAGCTATACTCGCGGGACCAAAAATGTAAAATTTGACCTTTTTGTTTTTTTTGCAGAGGGTTGCAGCTTTGAAAGGACACCTGGATTTCTCATTTGCATCAGCATGGCATCCAGACGGCAACACATTTGCCACAGGCAACCAAGACAAAACATGCCGGGTGTGGGATGTACGACACCTGTCCGAATCAATAGCCACTCTCAAGGCCAACTTGGGGGCAATTCGGTCAATTCGCTACTCATCCGATGGCCAATCATGGCTATGCTATGCCGAACCAGCTGATTTTGTCCATGTTTTTGATGTCAAAAATGGATACCAAAAACAACAAGAAATCGATTTTTTTGGTGAAATATCGGGCGCGTGTTTTAGTCCCGACACCGAATCGCTTTTTATTGGCGTGTGGGACCGGACTTATGGGAGTCTTCTAGAATACGGAAGAAGGCGTAACTACTCGTATATTGATTGCTTAATTTGAGTGCTGCATGGAAAATGGTAGGATAACCAAAAACGTAGATATGTACACAGGGATACTAGGTACTAGGTAGGTAGACACATTAGCAATGGCTTATAAGTTATAAATATATACGTGATGGTTTCATTGTTTTTCGTATATCAAATAATTATCTACATATTTTATTCCGTAATATTTTATGTTAATATGACTTGTAAATTAAATGTGAGGGCTTTATATATAATAGTCTATTATTAACAATCCAATTAAATATTACTCTTTTAGGTAATGGTGTGGAATATGGTGGACACGCCAAACAACTACACCTCACCACCATCTCATTTAAAATGTGGTTACAATCCAAACAGTACACCTCACCATCATCTTCTTCCACACCATTAGTTGGCGTACTTGCAATGAGAAGAAGAGAAAGGAACACTTGCAATGAGAAGAAGAGAAAGGAACAGAGAAGAAAGAAGAAGAGAGAGAGGAGCATAAAAGAAGAGAGTTGAATGACTGTGGTCTTTCATGGTATACACCACATGAGGCCATGATCATGGCTCGGATCACCATGAGACTTTTGGGATGGTGTGTATGCTCGTTGTCTTTCTCCAACTTATAACCACGAGACCCTTGTGCTATGTATATATCCTATGGCCTTAAAGCTCACCAAACTTGTCTTGTTTGGTGTGCCCCTCATGCGAAAGCAACACAAGTTGACAAGATTATAAGCGAGCTCCTTTACGCCTTAAAAACAAACACTTTCACATATGGTGACAGAGACATTGACAATACAATTTCCGAAGAAAAAAAAGATATTTCATGATATTTTTTACTTTCCCAAAAGCAATCATTTTTGCGATCTAGAAGGAAGTATGAAGATCAGTAGTGGAGCCCGGGGGTCCCGGGCGACTGCTCTGATTCTGGCAATTAGTGTAAATTTTTTTTGTTTTTCTATTAGGTGCAACGTCTTGAAATACCGGTGTCACTATTAATTTGGATTTGTTCGGAATTTTTTTTTTGGGTGTCACCACTACTTAAACTTTATGCGTCCGCCACCGAAGATATTAACATGTTATGGGGAATTTGCTCTTTAGACATTGAAAATAAGCTATCATTTTATGATATATAAGGAGTTCGATTTTTTTTCGAAAGGCATGATATCTATCATATATTAGAGTTTTGAGACTTAATACCATAGCCTAAGTCCATTTATTCATGACATATTAGTTCCATCATAGAGTGCCGTTGTTAAGCAAATAGACAACTAAATGTCTAAATTCAATAAAAAAATCTTTCTAATAACAAATTCTTATATTTTAAAGATATATACAAAATAAAACATGTCTGAGGGGTTTTTTTGTAATTTGCGAATAGCAAAAATTAGCTTGAATTGGATTAGAAAATGGGAATTATTCCCGAATGATTTGTTTCCTTATGCGATGTGATTGAGGCTCGATTTCAAGTTTATCTTTTAAACCCATGGTTATAAATAATCTTTAAGGAGATATCGAACCAAAATCCTAAAACACTTGGAAAACTTGTGAGAGTTTGATCGAGAATATATCGAGTTTCAGGTACAAATTCGACCTAAATTCTAAAACCCTTCATTGAAATTTGAAAGAATTATTTTTAGTTATTAAAAGTTGTTTCTAAGTAGATTGATTGATCGAATCAATTGAGGTAGTGTGTCTAAATAGAGGTCGATTTGTTTTAGGTGTGATTATAAAATTCATCTAAATATGTTCTATAAATGTACATCGTTTCTTAAATCTTAATGAACAATATCAAAAATCAAGAGTTGATTTCAACATCAATATATTATTTCGGAAGTAAAAAAAGGTTTCAAAAATAGGACCCGATTTAGGATTTGAACCCTACGTGAATCGAACACGCAACCTTCTGATCTGGAGTCAGACGCGCTACCATTGCGCCAAGGATCCTTGGTGATAGTTCCTCCTAATTTAGTTATATATAGAAAGACCACTCGACGAATGTTTCCATGTTTTGTCTTTGTGTTTTAAGTGACATAATTTCATATGGATATGAGTTAAAAATTTTGATTTTGCAGATGATGCAAAAAACCCGATATTATTTTCCATGTGCTGATGATGATATACCCACATGTTACATGTGTGGAACATCTTTTCAATACACAAAGCACCTTTACCAACATTTGAAGGGTCACACTGATTGTGATTGGCTGGAAATTCTGCCATTAGAACTCGATAGATCAATAGTCATGGTTTGTCGTAGTTTTCTCCAGGTTTCATCGGAAGACAATAGTTTGGATCAGAACAACAATGACAATAATAGTGATAGTGATAGTGATTAAGGCAACCGATTATAACAACAAAAAATGATTTGATTTGAACCTATTTACAAGTTGTTTATGTTATATGCCATCCATTCAATTTTCTTTCATGGCGTGTTGATCATATATGATTCATTTACAATGCCTACTATTTTGGATTTTTTATTTAGCCGCCATTTTGAATTGTTTGTTGGTGTTAAAAAGGGTAAAGGGTTGCACGTATGATAGTTAATTGAATTTGATCCGACTTAATCAAACCAAGTAGACTCAACCTTGAATCTGACCGAATAAGAGGCATTTCAGAGAAACCAGGACCGAGTCGGAAACTTAATGATATCAAACAGCCTAAATCTAACCGACTCATATCCAACCCGACCGAATAAAAGGCATTTCATAGAAGTCATAATTGAAAACCGAGTAAAAGATTTAATGATATCAAACAATTTGAATCTGATCGAGTGATATCGACCAAGTAATAAGCATTATCAAACAGCCCATAAAATTGATTATTTACTCATTCAAAAAAGTTCATTCACTTTAAAAATAATTTTATGTAAGGCAACACTTTATGATAAGTCTGAAACAAAAATTACCAAACAAAACTGAAACATTAATAACAGCTAAAAAAAAGTCATATTACAAACAAAAGATCACCCCCTGATCTATATATATAGTCTATCAATATCTAAACAAAATGGAAATTTAATTTTAACTAATTATGTAGGTATAACCTTATTTTGGGATGAAAACTGCAAAACAAATACATACACAACAACAAGAAGCAAAAACAACTGAATCATAAAACACAAACCATATCTCCATACCCTATTTTTCAATTTCCATGCTTCTTCAACTTGTACCTTTTCGTCTACTTCTAGCTTCTTTTGCTGTACCATAAGATTATTGATTTGATCCATGTGACCCTCCTTCAAGTTTGGATTGTTTTTAAGATGACTAGATATTCCAGCTCAGCTGCGATTCCTTGCATCAATAGTTCTTCATAATCTTTCTTTATGTCTCCAAGATTCAAGATCGATTCAAGCTCAAAGATCTTTGCGTTCTTGAGCTCGATCATAACCCGAGCCTCCTCGATCTTATTGTTACTGGATTGGAAGGAGTCGTCAGAAGAGAATGTTTCTTCTTTACCAACATCCCTCAATTTCTGGACTTCTGTAAGCAATAATAATGATGATGATGAAGATGGAGTTTAATTGTGAATGATGATTAGAGGAAAAGTTACATTACCTCTTTCAAGTGCTTCTTGAGCCAATGGAGTGGAATGATAGAATCTACCAGAGTGTCATGATCACCATTAATCTTTTCTTCCTTGACTTCCCAAGAGTTCTCAGCTGCTAAATCTTCATGTGAAACATCTTCAGAATCAGCTTCGTTTTTGTTGAATGCAGTTTGAGTTTGTCTGTCACCATTTTCAGCATCATCACTGTAATCTTCCTCATAGTTACCCAACTTGACATTCTTTCTACCATTGCTTGTTACAGAGTTAGAACCCTGTGTGAATACAAAGTTTGAGCTTCTGGAGTCAGATTCCATACTGGAAATGGAGTTTTCCTTCTTGAGTTTGAATCCTCTTGGCTTCTTGGTTTGATTTTGATTTTTCTCCGGTTGATCACCAGGTTGTACTGATATACCACCTGAATTCTTCCCATTCGAGCTCTTCATACCTGCTACAGGAAACCTGTGGTTAGGTTTTGGAGCACTAGCGGCTGTGGAAGATCTGCTGTTTTGATCCTCGCTGTTGTCGGAATCTGCCCTAGAAGCAAAATCAGATCCACGTCCTAAATCTCCGTAAAGCAGATTATGATCTAAAGGATTATCGAGAGCATGTGACATAGCGTTTGTTGATGAACTAGATCCTTCACTCCTTTGTTTCATGGCGTTAGGTAAACCAATCATACCTCTCTTCCGATTGCTATCTAACTACTATTCGTTTCCTTGCCAGCTTCTCTAGGAATCCTCCGCCATTTCCGTAATCCTCGCCCTTTCGTGGCTGGCGACGGCGACGAACCTATCGAGCCTCCCGGCAATATCTCTGTTGTGTTCGCTACAGTACCTTCGGTTTTAATGACATCCACGATTTCAGCATCATAATTCCCATTATCTTTCAGTTCGGTATCAATTTTCACCGTTTTTTTCCAACCCTTCGGTCTCTACCAATTCATTATCCTCCACTGAACGCTCGCTCCCGAAATCCATAACTAAAATATACTGCTCGTGTATGAATTTCAAACGAAGGTAACAAAAAGACTAACACCAGACTCCCGAACTCAAATCCAGATCAAATTACGGAAACCAAATCTCGAAAAAGGATCTATATAAATTGAATTTCAGGATTCCAATTGGATATTGACTGGATTCAGTTAATACTATCTTCCTTGATTGTTACCTCAAAGACGTTCAATTCGTAAGGGTGTGGTGGAAGGGGTCAATCGAAGATAAAGAAAAAAAAACGTATTAACAACGTACCTTAGACGCCATAGATGATAGAAGAGAGCTTCATTAGAGAAATATGGTGAGGGTTGATCGGATTGAAGAAACAGGAAACCCTAGATTAGAGAAGGATGAAACTTTATAGCGATGAGACTTATGAAAAAGTAAAGTTGTTGGAGAGGTACAGGTACTACAGTACAGACGAGCCACATGGAGGGCACAGTGACGAAAGAGGGCGATAAAGATAAAAGTTTATTTCCTT